AAGAAGATGCAGAAATATTTTACAAATCGAAAAGGTTATTTTTCTATTAATGCACAGACTACATCTTCAGCAGATTTAAAGAAAACTAACCTAGTTTAAAGATGGCCCGGATCATTAGCATCTCTTCTTTTTATATTTTTAGTTTGAATATAACCTTTCTTAATGCTAATTCTACATAATTCGTACGCGAAAAACCGGGGTCCTATACAACATCGCCTCCTAGCGGCCGTTTTATCAACCCTATTTTATCCTCAAATAACGACACTTTTCGACCTATGATTCCAGACCTTACAAATATAGGACCGTGGGAATTACCTAGTTAGAAAATGCCTATAAAAACATGTTGGTGAAATCGGGCACAAATTGCCGAAAAAAAATTCCAATACGATCCTGCGCACAGGACAAATCGCCCAACCTAATAATCAAGGTGTCAATTATGAGTGGCGCGTACGCGCAGGGCGAGATTTTTTGATATGCAATTAGGTCCGTAATAAAAGTGCTATTGTAACGAATACAATGAAAACAGGTAGTGGGTCGCTAATGAAACGTAATTTGGGGTGGTTGGAACGGCCGTGACTCCTGCGGAGATCTGGCATCATTCGTTATGTGTCAGGAAAATTCTGAAAGCCAAGTAATTATTGGCTTTTAAACCGTGATAGTGATGAAAGTTTATAAGGGACTTTTTTTAGATCGTTGTTGCCCCGCAAATTCATTAATTTTCGCGAAATGCGTTACCCATCGAACCCGTCGGGATTGGATACATTAGTATTAGATGCAGAAGTGAACTCAGGAGGAATGAAATATTTATATTTTAAAAATTAACTCGCCAAAACGTATTTTGGAGGGCAAACATAATTAGCAATGGAAATGTTCGGAAGAATAGAAGAAACTAACAAAATTCAAATATAATATCAAATGACAGACAACATATCTAGGGATAGATTATTGTAATTTCTTTGTTTTAAGTTTATTGGGCAAAAAATAAACACGTATTTTAAACTTTAAAAATTAATTGTGGCTTTAATAGGAAACATAAAAAATTAAAAATTTCACCAATGACTTCATAAAAATATGCAGTTTAATAAAAAAAATTAAAAAAAGTCGTACTACTCTCTATTGAAGGACTAAAAAATGTTTTGTATTGCTTAGAAATCATCAGTCTGTTAAATAAACTTTAAAAATTAATTGTGGCCTTAATAAGAAACAGAGAAAATTAAAAATTTCACAAATGACTTCATAAGAATACGTAGTTTTATAAAAAAAATTAAAAAAAGTCGTACTCCTCTCTATTGAAGGACCATAAAATGTTTTGTATTGCTTAGAAATCAGGCTGTTAAATAAACTTTAAAAATTTATTGTGGCCTTAATAGGAAACAGAGAAAATTAAAAATTTCACCAATGACTTCACAAGAATACATAGTTTTATAAAAAAATTAAAAAATGTCGTACTCCTCTCTATTGAAGGACCATAAAATGTTTTGTATTGCTTAACAAATCAGGCTGTTAAATAAACTTTAAAAATTTATTGTGGCCTTAATAGGAAACAGAGAAAATTAAAAATTTCACAAATGACTTCATTAGAATACGTAGTATTATAAAAAAATTGAAAAAAAATTGAGGGACCTTTATTGAGGATACCTCTCGTCATCGCTAGAATAGCTTCGAATCGATGACAAAATCCGAATTACTTTCGTCATAACCCTCGTTGTCTTTCCTCGGCGCGTTCGCAACAACAACGCTAACAACGTTAATAAACCGGCTTATTCGGAGCTAATGGATGAGCACATTAACCGAATTACCAGAAGGGGCATTACAAAGGCGGACTCCGGCGTTGCGGCTCCTTCGCTCCGGAGACATTTCTGCGACATGTCGTCGCTTTGATGTGATATCGCGGTTTGTTAGGTCACTTCTTAGACCTCCCGCGGCGTGTGTGCGTGGATTTCGCATTAGCTATGAGGATGAGGGTGAACGGGAATAAGTGGGCGTTTCATGAGGATCCGAACCAATTATTTTTGAATGCGCCGTACGGGCTTTGTGTGCCCTAAATTTAGATTGACTAATTGAATGAGAATTGAATTCGGTGTGTTTGGGAACCGTGGAAATTGATAACTTTTTACATTGTTAGATGCAGTACTTTAGGTTAATTCGATACGTTTTGATGATGTTATCTTCGTAGGTACTTAGCATCAAATTGATCTATAGGGTATCCATAAAATAGAAGTCAATAACTCGCATTTTGATGGCTTTATCTTCGTAGGTACTTAGCATCAAATTGATCTACAGGGTGTCCATAAAATAGAAGTCAATAACTCGCATTTTGATGGCTTTATCTTCGTAGGTACTTAGCATCAAATTGATCTACAGGGTGTCCATAAAATAGAAGTCAATAACTCGCATTTTGATGGCTTTATCTGCGTAGGTACTTAGCATCAAATTGATCTAGAGGGTGTCCATAAAATAGAAGTCAATAACTCGCATTTTGATGGCTTTATCTTCGTAGGTACTTAGCATCAAATTGATCTACAGGGTGTCCATAAAATAGAAGTCAATAATTCGCATTTTGATGGCTTTATCTTCGTAGGTACTTAGTATCAAATTGATCTACAGGGTGTCCATAAAATAGAAGCCAATAATTCGCATTTTGATGGCTTTATCTTCGTAGGTACTTAGCATCAAATTGATCTAGAGGGTGTCCATAAAATAGAAGTCAATAACTCGCATTTTGATGGCTTTATCTTCGTAGGTACTTAGTATCAAATTGATCTACAGGGTGTCCATAAAATAGAAGTAAATAACTCGCATTTTGATGACTTTATCTTGGTAGGTACTTAGCATCAAATTGATCTACAGGGTGTCCATAAAATAGAAGTCAATAACTCGCATTTTGATGACTTTATCTTGGTAGGTACTTACCATCAAATTGATCTACAAGGTGTCCATAAAATAGAAGTCAATAACTCGCATTTTGATGGCTTTATCTTCGTAGGTACTTAGTATCAAATTGATCTACAGGGTGTCCATAAAATAGAAGTCAATAACTCGCATTTTGATGGCTTTATCTTCGTAGGTACTTAGTATCAAATTGATCTACAGGATGTCCATAAAATAGAAGTAAATAACTCGCATTTTGATGGCTTTATCTTCGTAGGTACTTAGTATCAAATTGATCTACAGGGTGTCGATAAAATAGAAGTCAATAACTCGCATTTTGATGACTTTATCTTGGTAGGTACTTAGTATCAAATTGATCTACAGGGTGTCCATAAAATAGAAGTCAATAACTCGCGAGCGTATAAATGACTTCAAAGTAAGGGTATATCTTCATATAAATTTTGTTAATTTGAGCCTCCATTTTTGAGCTAGAGGCCTTTAAAGTCGAAAATTTAAAACTTATTTTTAGGTTTTATTTCCAAGTTAAACATGGGAACAAAATACAATTTTTGTGGTTTATTACCTACACCCGTGTGCCCAATTTGGTGATAAAATGAATCCTACACTATTCTGTGGAAGACAGTGGCAGCGTGTGCCCAGTGGTTAACAATTCGTAACTTTTATGGGGACAATCTGTCTAACACAAATGTATCGTAAATACATTCTTTAATCGATAAACTAACAAAAATGTACTCTTGTTTGAAGTCGATAAAATTAACAGTTTTAGAGAAATTTTAATTTTTAGATTGAGATGATAGGTAAAGAGAGATTTTCGGATAAACAAAAATTCTGGACAAACTCCTATTGTTTGTAACTATTTACTAAAAATATTAAAAGACAACAATAGAGACGATATTGGAATTTCTTCAGATTGATTTGCCACCTCTTTTAGACGAAATTCCAGTAAATTCCAGTAAATTCAAGTGACGAATTTAATGGACTGAATAATTTTTCATTGTGAAATCAAGAAATGCCTTTTATAGTACAAATAAATATTCTCCTTATGTTTCATAAGTATTTTCAACGAAAGGGTTCCCATATCAAACATTTATTATAATCTTTCGTTCGGCGATTTTCACATCCTGATTTAAAAATTGAAATTTCTCTTAAACCGTTAATTTTATCGACTTCAAACAAGAGTACATTTTTGTTAGTTTATCGATTAAAGAATGTATTTACGATACATTTGTGTTACACATATTGTCCCCATAAAAGTTACGAATTGTTAACCACTGGGAACACGCCGCCACTGTCTTCCAGAGAATAGTGTAGGATTCATTTTATAACCAAATTGGGCACACGTGTGTAGATAATAAACCACAAAAATTTTATATTGTTCCCATGTAATTTAAAACTTATTTTTACGTTTTAATTTTAATTCCAAGGTATACATGGGGACAAAATATAATTTTTGTGGTTTATTATCTACACATGTGTGCCCAATCTGGTAAATTTTCAACTTTAAAGGTATCTAACTCAAATATGGGGGCTCAAATTAATAAAATTTATATAAAGTTGTACCTTCATTTTAATGTCATTTATACGTTCCCGAATAATTGACATCTATTTTCTGGACACCCTGTATTCGTACTTAGCATCAAATTGATCTGTAAAAAGTTTCTATTGAAATATTAATTAGACTGGAATTTGAATTTCTTTTAAATTATACGTTTCCTTCGAATTAATTTAAAACAATGAATTCGTAATTTTATAACAACAATCACGAGATCATCATTTTAGAACGAAAAAACCCAGCTTGAATTCGTCCATTCATAACTTTTTTAATTTATCTTCAATCAAAGTCCGCTGGTTTTTTTTCTCACGTTACGAATTTCTTACGAAAATAGATTAGTATTACCTAGGCAGCAGCTTTTCTGAATACAACTAATGGAGTTTTGTCTTAGAATTAGTTACGCTTTAATAAAACACATTAAAATGTTTGCTGTTGTATCGGAGATCCGGAGGGTCATCGTCGGTAATTAACGAAATCCAAACAAAAAATTCCCTGGCAATTAACAACACCTGTGGTTTTTTTTGGTTCGAAGAAAGGGGAGTGTGAGATTTTTTTGTACAAGTTTATTTTATATAAAAAAAAATTAACAATCTTATGTGCATTACAAATTATTCATTATCAGAATCGTTGGTTTTCTTTCGCTTTTTCTTCATCGGTTCCAATCCGCTTGAAAATTCTGATGTTGTGAGGCTCACTGATTTTATTTTCTTCTTTGGAGGATTTTTCGCTCTGGGTTTCTCTTCCCTAAAAATATCGAATAATATGACAAAATGATTCCTAACTATTTTTTTCTTCTCAATTTTTACTCGGTTAATTCAACTCGCAATTCATCAAAGGTAAAACTATAAATTTTGCAAGGGGGCGTCATTAAGCAAAAAAGAACGATAAAAAAGAAATAATTAACACCAATCGAGCATACCATACCAAACATAGCTTTGTAATAAACCGCGTGCACATACTACGAAGTAGCGGCTCGGTAATTTATAATTCATTGTTTCCAGATATATAAATTGGATATGAACTTAATAAAGTGTAAAAAAATCAAAAACGTAATAAATCTAATGAAGCAGCCGCTTTTTTACGGAACGAAACCGACCATTAATCACCGTGGATTCATTAATTACTCGCATACGCGAACATGGACGTGCGCTCGGACAGAAGTAGAAGCCCTCGATGATGAAGAAAAGAACGCCGCTTTTAACTAGATCAGAATATCAGAAAAGCCAAATGCGCCGCTCTGGATTGTGGGAATGCCTGTCATTATGTTTAAGCTACTGAAAAATTATCGATGATTGTTTCATACAGATGAAAAGATAACATTCTTCATACCCAAAAATGGCAATAACGAATTAAAATCAAGAGTTATCAAGAGATAAAAGAAGAGATTTTGAAGGAATAAAGAGTAATATTTAATTCCATAATGCTTTTAACTAGATCAGAAAAGCCAAATGCGCCGCTCTGGATTGTGGAAATGCCCGTCATTATGTTTAAGCTACTGAAAAATTATCGATGATTGTTTCATATAGATGAAAAGATAACATTCTTCATACCCAAAAATGGCAATAACGAATTAAAATCAAGAGTTATGAAGAGATAAAAGAAGAGATTTTAAAGGAATAAAGAGTAATATTTAATTCCATAATGCTTTTAACTAGATCAGAAACGCCAAATGCGCCGCTCTGGATTGTGGAAATGCCCGTCATTATGTTTAAGCTACTGAAAAATTATCGATAATTGTTTCATACAGATGAAAAGATAACATTCTTCATACCCAAAAATAGCAATAACGAATTAAAATCAAGAGTTATCAAGAGATAAAAGGAGATATTTTGAAGGAATAAAGAGTAATATTTAATTTCATAATGCTTTTAACTTGATCAGAAAAGCCAAATGCGCCGCTCTGGATTGTGGAAATGCCCGTCATTATGTTTAAGCTACTGAAAAATTATCGATAATTGTTTCATACAGATGAAAAGATAACATTCTTCATACCCAAAAATAGCAATAACGAATTAAAATCAAGAGTTATCAAGAGATAAAAGAAGAGATTTTGAAGGAATAAAGAGTAATATTTAATTCCATAATGCTTTCAACTAGATCAGAAACGCCACATGCGCCGCTCTGGATTGTGGAAATGCCCGTCATTATGTTTAAGCTACTGAAAAATTATCGATGATTGTTTCATACAGATGAAAAGATAACATTCTTCATACCCAAAAATGGCAATAACGAATTAAAATCAAGAGTTATCAAGAGATAAAAGAAGAGATTTTAAAGGAATAAAGAGTAATATTTAATTCCATAATGCTTTTAACTAGATCAGAAACGCCAAATGCGCCGCTCTGGATTGTGGGAATGCCAGTCATTATGTTTAAGCTACTGAAAAATTAATTATCGATGATTGTTTCATACATATGAAAAGATAACATTCTTCATACCCAAAAATAGCAATAACGAATTAAAATCAAGAGTTATCAAGAGATAAAAGAAGAGATTTTAAAGGAATAAAGAGTAATATTTAATTCCATAATTAGGTAATCAGGTTTACCAATGATTACCAATGGTTACCAAAAATTTACTGGAATACTATACAGGGTGTTAATTATTTGAATGCCGATACTTCAGGATGTGAAAATTTGGATGATTTTAAGAAGAAAAGTTTATATCAATGTATGACCTAAACCTCTTAGTTTTCGAGCTACAGGGTGTCAAAATTTTAGAAAAAAAAATTACTTTTCTATCATAATTTTCTTATTACGGCAGATATTTTTATGAAATTTCGGACATAGACGTCACTGATAATAGTAGAAAATTAATTTTTATCCCAAAAAAAAAAGTGTTTCCATGCATGGTGGGCGCCTATCAAATTTCAACAAAATATCAAAAGCAGTCTCAAAATGAACTTGGGGAAAATGGTTTTGGTTTTTATTTTTTTACGTGAAAGTGCGTCGTACGAAAATAAGTCTTAATACCGAATTTGCTACAAAATGAATGAGAATTTTAAAAATAATTTTAGTTTTTAGAAAAAACAGTGGTGTACCATTTTTTTCATATTCATTTTTAACATATTCAGTTCAAACCCCGTACGGATACTACGGATGTCACTGATGAATATTTAAAAAAATCTTATGCCTCAAAAATGCTCCTTAATAATTAAAAAGTGTATACAAAATTTCTTAAAAATAACTGGAGTAAAAAGAAAATTATAATAGAAAAGTTATTTTTTTCTAAAATTTTAACGCCCTGTAGCTCGAAAACTAAGAGGTTTAGGACACATTGATATAAACTTTTTTTCTTAAAACCAATCAAATATTCGGCATAAGTATCTGCTGAAGTATCGGCTGAAGTATCGGCATACAATTAATTAACACCCTATAGAAACAAATTTACCGATTTAATAATGGAATGTTTAGCTGTAAAAATTTTCCTTTTACGATTCACCCGGTTCGGCCGGTGAACATTGTTTTCACATAATGAAATTGTATCAGTCTCACCTCATTACAGATTACTGAAATAACCATAAAAATAAAAATGATAGCACGGTGTTTGGGCGCCGTAAATACCTATCCAATTTACATTTTAGTAACGGTTTAACATATTTTAATGATGTTAATGCACAGATAACATTCGGTTCCATTAATTTCAATGATCTTCCGCTTTTTTTAAACTGTATTCAATCGATTTTTGATCGATTTATAGGATATAAAAATACTAAAAACAACTTTAGAATAGAAATAAAAAAACTTATAAATAATTCCTCGGCTAGAACAAATGGTTTGTAATATAAAAATTATTTTCCACTTATGTTAATGTTGTTATCAGTTATATTCCTTCGTAGATTTTATGGCTATGAATTAGTAAAATACTTAGAAAATGTATTTCCAAAATCATTGCTACAAACAAGCATTCCTAGGCAGGAAAATTCTAAGCTCAACTATAGCTGGGTTAGCGCAAAAACCGTGTAAAAACCGCGATGTTCATTAACAACTTATGCGTGTAACAAACATAATGAAACGTAATTAAAGAAGGGATAAAAGAGCTTTGGAGAGAAATAAAAAAAATAAAAAAAGAAAAGGGCGATTTTTCCGTAGGTAAGCCGTTCTCGCTAGACCAGTTGATTAATGCAGGGCTAATTATCGCGTTAAAGCGCGACGTTTCGAACGGACACATGGCGAGCACACAAAGGGCTACTTTAAACACATAAATAATTCGTTTTATTGTTAATATTATTTCGCGATGTAACACGCGGAGACTTATTATCGGAGCCTATTTTTCATGGACAATTTGTAATATCCGCGGGCGCTTTTGTTCGAATCGCGGTCGCTTTTGTTTGTGTTAGACGAGCGATTATTCACGGTTCTTATCGGTTTCTACCTGAAAATAGCCGAATGCTATTAATGCCTGTTAGTTCTGTTACGTTATATGCTACTAAAGCTCCTTTATAGACCAGTGCTGAAGCCTTTGAAAATGGTAAAAAGAGAAGAAAAAAATAATAGTAGGATGAAACCTATTGGAAAATGAAGAGGATATAACAGAAATGATAGGAAAAATAATTAACGGGCGATCCGAGGTCGGGAAGTGGGAGTGGGTGAGTTTTTAAGGGTAGAAAACGGTTTTTCTCATTTTCCAGCAAAACTACAAGTCCTATGGAAAAACGTTAATGGCAAAGTTGTAGACAATAAAAAGATCTACAACTATTGTATTTACACTTTTTTCATATATCCTCAACATTTATGTGAAAAATTCAAATAACCAAGTTTTTGGTTTTTTATTTTTATCTTTTACAAACAAAAAATTTTTTTCACGAAATTTGGAAAAAATTTACCTTTTAATGTCCCGAACACACTGTAATTTTTTTGATTTAAAATATTTTTTTTTCGCCTTATTTTGACTTAACATCGAAAAAACTCCCTAATTTTCAATCGAAAATTCTCGCGTCAAAATATCTGCTTTTTGAAAAAAGTTGGTGGCATTTTCGTTCGTTGAAATCTCTACTTTTTGATGGTGTAAAAAATATACATTACTATGAAAAATGTTTTCAAAAAATGCAAAAGTCGTTAGCCAGTATTCGAAGAATCATGTAAAAGAATCTGCATTTTTCTATAGTTTCAAAAATTATCGACCCTGGTCTATTATTAGGTTTGTTCCTAAAAAAAATCACTAATTTGTTACCAATAAGTTTCTGACTGTTCTATTTCGCATGCGCGGTTTATGATTGAATGGTGTAATCAAATTTCCGATTTCTTGATGGAACTGTCTTTACATATTCACCAAATATCAAACAAAAACAACAAACAACATAACCAAATAATTAACCTATATTCGAAAATACAAATTATAAACCCGAATTGAAAATGCGCTTGCGCCGGACTCTAAATCTCTGTACTATCAGTAAATTTTTCTGGCTATCACAAAACCAGTCCCTTGAACTGTTGGAACAATAATTTGTTAACCAAGTCAGAATCAGAGATGTCTGTGGAGTTTGTTGAAACGCCTAAATTATGACTGCGCAGACTCCTGACGACCACCGGCTATTTCTGACTGTTGTAGGAACAAACCTATTATAACGTGAAATCCTCCGATTTTGTGGCAAAAAAGTTTGAGTTTAGCCGTTTCAATTCGTACAATAAATTGTGAGTCAACTTACGTTTCGTGTATCTGCAATTTTCTATTTAATCTTGGAGCCTCAGTTTTACCGAATTGGCCTCTGACTACTCTGGCTACAGCTGTTGGAGACTCTTTTAAACCGAAGCTGGTGACGTAATGACCTAAGTTGGCTTTTTTGAAATCGAAAATCGGTCGCATTTTAGTTGAATACGTATTGTAGAAACGAGACCATGAACTGTAAGCTGTAAAATAACTCAAATGAAGCTGCTCCAGACAAACTCCTCGTTGATACAAAGCGAAGGATTACCCTCCGCAAGAAGACTTACCCACACAAGCGGATTTGTGCAACTCCTTATCGTTTTCCAAAGCGCTTTCGAAGCGTTTCTGCAAAGCCACGGCGGCTTTCTCGTGGTCCGCCTCGTCCATTACGGCGCTCAAATTCTTCAAAAACACCTCCGTCTCGTGTTTTTGCAAGCTACAAGCGACCAAACGATCAGCAAAGAAGTTACGCGATTCATCGCAGCGACTTACTAAACTCTGTGCTTCTCCATTTCGGTGACGAAATCCTGCTCTTCGTGCGTCAGAAATATGTAAGAGGTGCCGGATTTTCCCGCCCTCCCGGTCCTGCCGACCCGATGCAGGTAATCCTCGATGCTCTGCGGGCCGTTGTATTGAATAATGCAATCCGCGGTGGGAACGTCGATTCCTCTAGCCACCACGTCCTAGAGTAGAAACGTTTAGAAGAGTTTACAAACTTCAACAACGACGGAAAATGGTTCTTAAAAAATCTCATTAACTTCGAAATCCGGCCGAAATTGTAGGCAACAAAAGGAACGAAATGTGTTCTCTTCGGGCGGTTCACCTGAACTCCCTTCGGTGGCCCGGACTCGACCTTGGCCCTTACAAAACAAATTATTCATATGGAGGCGGGAATTTGGCTGAGAAATCAGCATCTCGCTTATTGGAATGCTCTGCAATGTCTTAGGCAGTCCAAGCTCCTACTTAGGGGCTGGACTGATGGACATGCTAGGACAGCTGTGGAACTACCTAAGGAGTAGGTTAAAAAAGATAGCAGGACTCCTAAAGGGCCACTGTTGTCTGAGAAAACACCTCTACAACCTAGGTTTAGAGGGAAGTCCCCTCTGCAGGGGCTGCGGCAAGGCGGATGAAACATCGGACCATGTTCTTTTGGAGTGTCAGAATTGGGCTGTGCTAAGCAGGCGAACCTTTGGAGTCTCTGTTATGGCCCATGGAGGCACAAACAGGCATTCATTGAAAAGGACTGAGGCCTTCATCGAGCTATTCGGCTTCATGGATGCATAAGCAGCAGGAATGGCACAATGGGCCCGCTAGAGGCCTCAATGCCTGAACCTTGGCTTGAACTGTCTCGATCAAGGTTCGCCTGCGAACTAGTAATAGTAGTAGTTCCTCTAGCCACCACGTCCTAGAGTAGAAATATTTACCGCGCTTTAGCCCGCTGGGATTGTTTGGAAGAGTTTACAAACTTCAACAACGACGGAAAATGGTTGTTAAACCCGACCTTGGGCCTTACAAAACAAATGATTCGTATGGAGGCGGGAATTTGGCTGAGAAATCAGCATCTCGCTTATTGGAATGCTTTGCAATGTCTTAGGCAGTCCAAGCTCCTACTTAGGGGCTGGACTGATGGACATGCTAGGACAGCTGTCGAACTACCAAGGAGTAGGTTAAAAAAGATAGCAGGACTCCTAAAGGGCCACTGTTGTCTGAGAAAACACCTCTACAACCTAGGTTTAGAGGGAAGTCCCCTTTGCAGGGGCTGCGGCATTGCGGATGAAACATCGGACCATGTTCTTTTGGAGTGTCAGAATTGGGCTGTGCTAAGCAGGCGAGGAGGAGTCTCTGTTATGGTCCCTGGAGACACAAACAGGCATCCATTGAAATGGACTGAGGCCTTCATCGAGGGACTCGGCTTCATGGATCCATTATAGCAGCAGGAATGGCACAATGGGCCCGCTAGAGGCATCAATGCCTGAACCTTGGCTTGAGCTGTCTCGGTCAAGATTCGCCTGCGAACTAGTAATAGTAGTAGTTCCTCTACCAAGGAGGTAGAGCCGTCCTCTAGCCGTCCTCTAGCCCTCCTAGAGTAGAAATATTTACCACGCTTTAGCCCGCTGGGATCGATCGGAAGAGTTTACAAACTTCAACAACGACGGAAAATGGTTGTTAAAAAATCTCATTAACTTCGAAATCCGGTCGAAATTGTACACAACAAAAGGAACGAAGGAACGAAATGTGTTCACCTGCGGCGATTTTATTGTGGACGAGAAGAAAACGCGTTAAGTGCGTTCTTCTTTCACGGAGGAATGATACACATTCGATAGCTCGGAATTAAATTCGGTCGAATGACTAAACGATTGTGATTGTCGCTCGACGGGAGGCCAGCAAGGAGTACCGACCGGCAGGATGAAGCTTTGTGATGATCTAAACAATTTATTATTACCTTCGATGATGAGAATTTTCGATTCGTTAGCTCGGACAATTTCGGAAACTAATCAATTGAGATTAATAATCATTTATTAATCGCTCGATTTAGAGTCGACAGTGCAGTAATTTTGAAATAAAAAAAAAAAAATTGATCCACGTTGCCGACGATTCTTGTAGCTACGCTGAAACAGCGGGCTACCAGCCTCTTCAGCGGCTATTTATGAAATCCAATAAGACTAATCGTCACCGCAGTAATTAACTCGATCTCGATTTGAATGGACACCTCTCGCGGTGAATCCGCGCCGACCATTTATACAGGAATATAAGGAATGAATCAGCACAAGATGCGGCCCGCTTTAAACGTCGCCGTTTGTAATCACAAACCTTTAATTTAGATAAGGAAATTCCTTCTAAGAGATATCCCGAACGTTTTTCAATTCATCTTGCCGCAATTTCGATTTTATTGATATAAAAACGTTTGTACGGACCGACGATAATAGCTGGAGACGATAGGCCGTATTTAACGCTTCTGAGCTTCTTTTTAACTCGTTTTTAACATATTATTCTCATTGTTTCTAAAGAATAATCATGGACGAAGTTTATGTAAAAGACTCGCTTGTCAGCTCGGGAGGGGCTCCGCCCCTCCACCCCCGGCTTCGCCGCAGACAGTTACATATCCGATTCTCGCTCGCTGCGCGAGCTCGAGTTTATTGGTAATTGCAATAATGGGCTCTGCCGAATAAACCGGCAACTCGGAGGCCTGACGGCCTCCTACCTAATAATTTTTCATTTAAGATAAAAAAAACGCCCCGTATATTAATTTTTCCGATTTCCTTAATGAAAAAACACCCTGTACATCAAATTAAATGTCAACATATCCATAGAAACGCAAAAGTCATCCATTTTGTCTTTCATTCGGGAATGATCGTACGTCATCGTAGATATGAAAGTTTTCACTTCCGGTTCGACGGCAGCCGTAAAATATGCAACGATTTCGAAAATCTTTATAATTTGATAAATAATAAGTAAGAAAATAAGAAAAAAATTTGGTAGATAGAAAAATGTCGTATCTATAAATTTTCGCTTTCAGAATTTTCTAAAAGATGAGAGTTTCCGAGTTTTGGCGTTACAAACTTGAAGACGATTTAAAAACGGTTTTTTTGAAAAAACTCAAAAAGTACAGATCGGAAAAACACCCGGTCTCTTTTGTCGGATGGAAAAAAGAATTTTCAATTATTTTGCAAGTATGAAAATAGTTCGTAAATCTTACCGTTTACGAGTTATTTCGATTTTTAGAAAACCTTCGAAAACTATTTTCCACGATATTTTCCCAAAACGATTTTTTCCTGGAAAACGGCTGTATACGAAAGTCGAGAGAACCGATGGAGAATCTTTTGGGAGATTTTGAAGCGAATCGAACGAACTCGATTCGAGAAAAGTGCGAAAAACCGAAAAAAAGGGTTAATTTTGCTCATTTGACACTGAAGATGAAATTTGATCGAGTCGAAACGTCGATATTTCGATCGGGCGTGTGCGTTTCCATAGGATTCGATACTTTTCCCGGTCGAAAAAGACGAACGGCGGCCGTAAAAAAAATCTCGAGAACCCTACGAATTTGGGCCTTACAGCTTTATAGTATTAGTGAGTCTCTTAAGATGTTGATGAATAGGGCCAATATGACACCATAAAACTAGATATTAAAAATTTAGTAAACAAATACTTACTGTACAAATTAAAACACCCTTTTTGGCTGCTCTAAATTTCGTGAAAACGTCCTTACGAACATTCTGATCCATATTTCCGTGCAATTTGAAAAATTCCGTATCGACAACAATTTCCTCATCGTCGCTAGCGTTATCGAAATCTTCCAAAACAACGATATTGTCGCTTTTCAGCTTCCCTCTGTTCCTCGGTAACTGCACGAGGTATTTAGTGAACAGATCGTAATGGTAATCGACCATATTGCTAGTGCCCATGAATACAAATACTTTAGATTTGGTTTGCGATAGGGTTATTAGCATGGCGGATAGAGTGAATAAGCGATGCTTTGTGTGGGTAACGATGAATTTTTGCTGGACTGTTTTAGGTATAACCATCATTTCGGGATTGGCGGTCGCGAATTCATCTAATGCGTCTATGTAGGTATGTTCTTTCATTGTGAAATCCGCCAATTCCGCTATTCCTTGAGTCAATGTGGCAGAAAGTAATAACGTTTGCCTTGTTTTGCTTTTTGGATCTCTTAAAGGCATTGAAGAGGTATCGGGTGGATTCGAAGCTGCTGCTGTTGATTCACCATCATCATCGGTAAAATAGGTTTTTTTTAATAAGGCCATCGGATTGTATTCGGCATTTTTCTTAGCAGCGTCAAATTCTTCAACTATCCTGGAAAATTAAAAGTTTACACTACGAATTAGTTAGTTTAATCATCAACTTACTTTACGATATCCTTTTTAAAACCCATATCTAATAGTCGATCGGCTTCGTCTAGAACCAAACATCTTACATTTTGAGTTTTAAAGGCGTTTGTATGAAGCATATGGTCCAATAATCTACCAGGAGTAGCTATTAATATGTGAACTCCTTTCCGAAGTCTCGTTTTTTCCGTATTACGATTTTCTCCTCCGCAGAGATAACTGACCACAATCCATTGAAAAGTCTACAAGTAGAAATTCTTACTAAAGATGTGAAATATGTGAATATATAAAAATGTATTACATTAATTTTCCCGAATAATTCGTAAGTTTGTAAGGCGAGTTCTCGGGTAGGGACAACGATAATGGCTTGTACTCCATCGGTTCTTTGTAATCTGGGATTAATATTTTGTAAAGCATCTAAAATTGGGACGGCATACGCTAAAGTTTTTCCAGAACCAGTTTGAGATCTTATCTACGAATATTAAAAATTAACTTGAAATTTATTCGTTAATAAACAGAAGCTTACCAAAACGTTGTTTCCTTCGAGGATAGCAGGAATGGATTTCTCCTGAACGTTTGTGAGAGTCACAAAATCAATTTTATTTAAATTTGAGACTATGTATTTGTGTATATTTAAATCGCTGAATTTCTTATCCGCACTAAACACTTCCTCGACAACAGATTTCGCTCGGGTGTTGCTTTTAACGTAGATATCCTTTTGGCCGACGGCAAATAGAGAATGGGCTGGTGGTTTCTTTGAAGCGTCGTTTTGGACAGATTTTCCCTCCGCTAAAGCCTTTTTAGCGGCTATTTTGTCTTTCTTCCACTTTCGTTTTATAAATTTTGGCGCTTCTTCGGTACTTTCTGTTGTATCTTTACTTTCAAGATTTCTACGAAACTTTGAATTCGTACCAAAATTGCTGCTTTTATTAGTGTTACTTTCGGTTGTATCTGTATTTCCGAAATTCCTACGAAACTTTGAATTCGTACCAAAATTACTACTCTTGTTAGTGTTTCTTGGAGCATTTGATTCTTTCGTTTGATTCGAACTTGCACTCGAATCGATTTCTTTCGAAACTGTAGGATTCGCTTTTCGTACTCCAGTTTTCTTTTTAAGCAAAGCTTGAGTCTCCGTTGGTCCTTTAACATTTGTTACAGATTTATTTTGTGACTGCGACATAGCACTTTCATTTTTATTTGGCTTTCTCTTCTTGGCAAACGTACTTTTCGCTGAACTATCACCACTTTTCCATTTAAAATCGAACGAAGTCATTTCGTTAATTGTTTAATTCTTTGAAACTACAACTAAATTCCTACAATAAATAGGAAATATGTTTAAATAAGAGTAAACAACACTAAATCGAATGTGAAAATGTTAGGTTAGGTTGATTGAACACATGTTAGAAATGTCAGTAATGTCACTGTCAATTTTAGATTTCTTCGCATTTGATAAACGAGGCCTTTACCTTTGGGAGTTACTAGTCACTTTGCAATTTTGAAATTTCGTTAGTTTTTTTAACAAAATATCTAATAACGTGTTTTTATTGTGTAATCATATTTAATTAACATTATACATTAGTTATAATCATACAAGAGGTCTTTCTCTCTATATTTCTAAATATTGGTAAGGACAAATTTGTTTGCACTTTATAAGTAGAATTGCCTATTTCGAGAATTAGGTATCAGATTTAAAAATCCGCCCTTTTTATCTTTTTAGTTGATAAAAAGGATAAACTTTCATTGGATACGTAAGCGCTTTTATCCCGTGCATTTAGGGGCGGCGAAAATTCGCCCGATTTATGAATTTGAACAGCGCTCGGTTAACAATAACGTTGTAAAAGGACGGATTTAGGAATATCAATCACTTTTAGTGGCGTTAGGGTCAAGGGACCACGTCTAGTGGGGCACTTTAATGGAAAGCTAATGTGCTACTAATTCCCACAATCCCATTCAAGTGAAACACTCGGACCCACTTTTAATCGATCCGCTTTTACAGGATGTTGGCCGGACGTTTCCTTAGCCTTTTGATGCTCATACAAAATTTACAGGAAAGCCTTTGATTTATTTATAAACGGGAAACTGCATGAAGATTAAGAGATTATTAAGTTATACGTTTATCTATACGTACATAGCATAATTATTGACTTTAAAATTTGTTCATTAATCTTGATGTTTGTAGGTTAATTATAAGGATATTTATCGCGCGTGTTTATTTGAAGATGTGGTAAATTTTTGGATCGTTTTATACTTAATGAATTCGGCATCTAAAGTCGATTTTAAAACGATTTATTATTATAGGTCTATCATTTATTTGGTGGACGATTTATCACGATTACGATCATTTATTTCTCTTGCTGTATATGTGAAAGTAGCTTAAATTTATCACGGACACGGACCGCCGATGGAACCCTCGAATTTCATATATTTTTGTGGCGATGATCCGCTAGAATGACCGCACGTGCGCGTCGATAAAATAGTAATGAGTAAATGGGGGCTATTCATTTGATATTTTAGTGTATTCCACAATTATGGAAGTATTATGCTGCAATTTTTACAATTTTCTTATGTCAAATCCAAGTTCTTATACTTCTAAGGTGTGGAAACATGGGCCAAAAAAGTGTCCCGTTATTTGAGGATAAAACATGGATCCTAAAACGGCCGCTAGGAGGCGATGTTGTATAGGACCCCAGTTTTTTGCGTACGAATTATGTAGAATTAGCATTAAGATAGGTTTTATTCAAACTAAAAATAGATACAAAATATAAAAATTTACTTAAATCAGCTATGATTTTGTTGTTAACATTTTGTTGTTTTGTCCTCGAAATATCAAAAAATAATTTTTGAAGTTTTGACAGCTTGAACTGTCATCTCACAACCGCGATTTATATGTAGCGCGACGCTGATTGGCTGAGATAAATTGGTCCTCCGATCGTTCGCCACGGTGTGGCAAAAAAGTGAAGCTTAAAAAGTCCTTAAATAACGGGACACATTCTCTAATACATAAGGATAATGAGATGCCAGACTTTAGAAATATAGGACCGTGGTCAAATCCAAGTTAAATCTGTTAATGTTATTAGCTGTCATGTCAGTTGTCATGTAGTAAATTTGTCTATGAAAAAAGTCAACTGTCATACTGTCAATAATTATTATGTTGTTGCTGTCAAGCGTTTAGTTTATAAGAGTTCATTTTCTTGTTTTGTTTAAATTAATACCACGTTATTAACGTCATGTTTCAATAAAATCATCGAGTTTTTCGTTTCCTTCCTGCACTGTTTAGATCATCCTTCCGTCAAGGCACCCCCCATTCTTCCACGACGAATCCGAGAGGCTGTGCCGGAATCGACTAAAACTTTCCAACTGTACGTATTTTCCATTTGGACTAAATCCAATTTTTAGCCGTCCATTATTCAAATACGTAGATTTATGTGCGCCAGCGTCGGGATATAAATCCACTGAAAATACGAGAAAATGGTTCGACTCGATCCTAATTTATTGGCCGAAACGCTCGGGTGCCAACCAAATTGTTACAAAACTCGACGTCGAGTTTGTTGGAAGGAAAACGGGACCGGTACCGGGGACGGAACAGATTGGCGAAAACGGGGGAGATGATTTTATTATACCTACTTACTGAAAAATACTTTTATACAGTATGTTTTTTAATACAAAATTTTATTTATTTATACGCGTATATTCACACAAATATATTGTTACACAAAAGTTAAGGAAGTTGACAAATATTGAGATTAATTTAAAAGTTGCAGGTTTTTTGATCGCCAAATTTAGTATGAGATGTAGAGGTAGGGACAAAAAATCCACTCAGATATGAGAAAAAACATTTAATTTCGCATATTTGAAAATTTGGTGATCAAAAAGTCTGTAACTTTTGAAATAATCGCAAAATTTGCGAACTTCCTTAACTTTTGTGTAGCAGTTTATTTGATCAAAAAGTTGAATAAATAGAAGATAGACTACTGAAGAATTGAATAAACTCTTTGTTCATCTGCTATAAAGCAAGACTTTTCTAAACCCATGGACATATTGTATAATAGTATAAAAGTATTAGTTTCATTGAGATATTCCTAACTTAATAATAGAAACCAAAAACTTTATACCTACCTCCAACCTCCTCATTTTGCCACCTCTTCAACTTAAAAAACGAATTTAAATTACTTTTTATTTACTTTTTATACATGTATTTTTTATATATTTTCAGTTCATTTTGTAAACATCATTGGATGATAATAACTTGATTTATTTTTTTTTGTAATGCCCATCATTAGAAGAGGTTTTCAACTCATTTGGAATTACCATTCAAAGTTCATAAGCATTACATTACCATGAATCAAAACCGTACACATACGAAAATATGCGACCGGTTTCTGGCGAATATAAAAGTTTGAAAAGTTTGAATGTAAACATATTAAGTTCCCTTTTCCGTCGTGATATATTCAAATGGACTGCTTTTAAAGGTCCATAACATCAAATTCGCTGTTGGTTTTCTTGAAAGCTATAAAATCGAAGAGGATGAATATTGGATGGATGTTGGGCGATTTTACAGCGGCGGGTATACTCTGTTTAGAAAGTTTTCTTTTTTCTTCTGTTCAGCAAACTTTTTACATCTAAAATCATTTTTATTATTCCTATTTATATTGTTGCAGGGGTGTGGAATGCTGTGGAATACAGAAAGGTAAGCGAATTTTTATCTATAAAATTTTTGTTCAACAATATTATGCGAGTATAGAAAATTTTCCTTTATATACTACCACCTACATTTCGCATTCGGTAGGAAAAATCTTTTCAAGAGACCACCGACTTACAAAAAAAACGCCCAAAAAGTTTTTTTTTATCATTCTTCCAAACGCTGCACCCAATTAGATTACGCTTTAACTCGTCTGATGGCTTGACGACAAATTTAAAAACTCCTAACTAGTGTTTTAAAAGTTAGCCGAAGCCATTTGAACAAATTACACTTTCGTTTCTTTTCATTTCTTTTGAAAGGGGAGAGGAGTCGCTCTTTTATTTACGCTCTCCGTCCAACCCGCGTGCACTCCGATACTGGGTGAATTTTAAAGCTTTTTCCAAAACCTAATTTGATAAAGTGGATTAAGTGGCCGGCGATTCTTTTTTCCGAGGAAATTACTCGTTTCCTTGGAGATTAGGGAATGAACAACCCCGGTGTTTTAGTTGAAATACCTCCCTTATTACGTACAGTTTGGTAACTTAAAATAACAATATTACTGAAGAATTGCTTGCATTATTGCATGGGAATATACGCGAGAAAATCCTGCTAAAATTGATGAATTGTGAGTATAGTTCTAAAGTATTAATACAAATTTTTATTGGTATAGAGAATGCAATAAACGTTTTAAATTCATTTCAACAGCAACACTTGTTCGCAAGCATCAACATGTACGAAATACAAAAAAAAGCCTGCGAAACTGCCATAAATATTCATAGCTATAAAATATTAAAAGAGCTTAGAGAAACCAGCTTTGGAGACTTCAAACGAAGCTAAGTGGCTAAGGGAAGCTCTTTTCAAAAGCTTTTCAAATTAGATCCAGATAAAATTTGCACTTTGCGCAAATTAGCGACACCTCGCTTCACGGGACACCCGAACTACTTAGGGTCCTAACGCCGTATTTTGTGTATCTTTATTCTAAGTTGTAGTTGCCGCTTTAAATATTCATGGAGTCGTTATGCCATATTTTAATGTGCTCGCTTAATTAGTATGAACGAAGCGAAATCTGTTAGATTTATAAAAAAAATCTATATAGGAGACACAAAATGAATATTAAAATTTCTCGTTTACATTCAATAATTAACTACGTTTATACTGCGTATGTACAGGGTGAATATTTGGATGGGTGATTTTAAGAAGAAAAGTTTATATTAATATTTGTCCTAAACCTCTTAGTTTTCGAGCTACAGGGTGTTAAAATTAAAAAAAATTACTTTTCTATCAAATTTCGCCTATCGGCGCCTATCAAATTTCAACAAAATATGAAAAGTAGTCTCAAAATGAACTTTTGGGAAAAATGGTTTTAGTTTTTATTTTTTTTTGCGAAAATGGTGCGTCGTACGAAAATATATCTTCTAACCGAATTTGCTACAAAATAAATGAGGATTTTAAAAATAATTTTAGTTTTTAGAAAAAGCTGTGGTGTACCATTTTTTCAAACATATTCATTTCAAACCTCGTACGGACGTCACTGGTGAAAATTTAAAAAAAATCTTATGCCTCAAAAAATGCTCCTTAATAATTAAAAAGTGTATAAAAAATTTCTTAAAAATAACTGGAGTAATAAGAAACTTATGATAGAAAAGTAATTTTTTTCTAAAATTTTAGCACCATCATGTATAGCTCGAAAACTATATAAGAGGTTTAGGACATACAT